TTGTGACATCTGTATGCTATCATGGCATTAACAATATTGCACTATTCTACAGTATACAGCTTTAACAGTTGTGCTTAAGCTGTTCAACAAATGGTTCCATTTACAAAGCAGGGCAAATTATATTATTTGTTAATGTCAGTGTTCAATTTCTGTTGTAAGGTGGAAGAAATAGAAACCTATTACCTTGCCTTTTGTCAGCACAGCTTTGCAAACAGCTAGCAGAAATTAGCAGGCTGACTGACATACGCTGCATTCAAGAGAAGCTACCTTAGGTGTAGAGTAGATTTAAAATGTTTCACAGCAATATTTAATTTAGATGCCTGATTTAGAATCCTGCTAAATTAATGTATTTCTCCAGAGGACACTCTTTCTCTTATATGCTATGCGATATTTAGTGTCTGCATTAAAAGAAGTTCAGATTCCTGTAACAGCTACTTAATTGGGATGATTAAAGTGTGATTATCTTTGTTTAATCTCACTACTTTGTTCAAACTGGTCACCCTTTTGAAACAGTCAAAAGACAATTTAAAGTTATTATCAAAGAGTACAGAGTTTGTTTTCTTATGGGGAGGAGGGGACAGAAAAAGGAGGGAAGGAATGGAGTGGGAAGGAAAGGAGGTGATGCGTTATGTTGTAGTGTTTCTTTATGTATGTATTTAAGTATCACCTACCTGATATGTTTTTTCTCTGCAAAAACTCTCCACGTATAGCATTAGTTTAGGCATGTTTTCTCCTGCATGAGTCAGTCTTGGCTGTGTCATAGTCCTTTCCAAAACTCTCCTTGACTTACAGATCTAAATCTTTTCAGGAGTATGCATTTCATCTTTGGAATTAATGTTTTTTGACTGTGTGGAAACTCTTCACGTATGTTTGTCATATTGTAGCTGTCTTATTTCAAAGGATCTCCTTACATAAGGAGGTAGCAAAAATGTCTTCTTTTTCTTTGTCTTTCTCACAGATTTTTTTGTTGTTGCTAATAGGAAGAAAATTTGATAGAAGGGTCAGCTCACCATCTGTCTGACTGATTATGCCACTTAGATGCCACTCCTTGGTTCCCAGGAGAAAAGTGGCAACTCAGAACCTAGCCTTCAGTCTCAGAATCTTACCTAAAAATAAGTGGATATTCTGCCACTTGAAGCAATAAATTAAGTTGAACCCATAATTTTTATCTGTTAAAATGCACTTGTTTGTGTAATTCAGTATCGTTATTTAGAGACTTGCCTAGCACGCTTTTGGAGTTTACAGGATGAACCTGAACCTCACAGCAAATTCTTTACCATTGCTTGAATTCCTCATACGTACACAATTGATGTCTTAAGTTTGAAGTATATTCTCTTTAGACATTTTCATTATATTACAATTAGAAGCAGTAAGGGTTCTTCATCTTTCTTGTCCTGTAGTAGATTTTTTCTGTTTTTAGAGCTCTATATAGGTATTGGAAGTCAAAAAGGTCTGAAAATCTGTAGGAAACAGAAGACACTTGAACTTGTTACTCTTATTTCCCTGCTCTAACAGAACCAAACTTATGTACAAATTTGCAGGGCTATATTACAAACTATCATATAAATATCTTCTGTGGGAATTATACGATGACTTAGGACACCAGTTCCAGTGCTTAATTATCGTTATCATTACTTCACCCAAGTGTTAATCCACTACATTTAAAGTTACACTGTTAATAGGGAATTACTGTCATGTCCATTAACCATTTCTACAAACAGTTTTTACTTGACTGGCACTTTTCTCAGAGTTCTCAGGCTTGCTACCTGGCTTGGTGAGATAAGTGTTCTAGGAACCTCTGAAGATAGACTTGTAATTTACTGACAATTAGTTATGTCAATAATGGCATTTTTGAAGCAATGGCAGAGACCTATTTTCCATTTGGTCTGTCAGCCTGGCTTCTATAGAAAATTCCACTTAGAGTTTTCCAGGTTATCTCATAGCTTAATTATATAGGAAAGTTATTGCAAATGTCCGTCCAGGTGAATAGACTTTTTAATTGTTGGCCTTAAGTGTTTCAGTAGCTGTGTTAGCAGTCTTTCCATTTTGCTTGTCATGAAGTTCACAGCTTATACATAAAATTGGTTGTTCTTTATGTGAACTTAATTTTGATATGATATACAATGTTGGTAATCAAAGTTAAAAGGCAAACTTTCCCAGAAAGGAATCGCGTCACATTAAAAAAAGATCAAAATGAGTCCATCCAAATATATATTTTTTTAGACCTCACATCCTACGTGCTATTGAGAGCTCTAAACTTGAAAATGTACTCTCAGTTGTCTAGGAGTCCTTTTCGGATGCATTTTAGTTGTGTGTGCACGTGTAATTTACATGCTGGTTCATGGAAACGCAAGACTGAATTGGAAGTGAATTTGTTATTGTGGTTTTTTTTCTTAACATGAAAGTCTGTTTTTTGATGGAAGGGTGAAATTGAGGTGGCAGAGTGCTTATCTTACCATTCCAGAGACGTGCTACCAGAAAAGAATTGCAGGGAGTATAAAACATTGAGGATAGAAAACTTTTTGTTTTATGTTTCCTAAATTGTAAGCAGGTTTCATTACGAAAGAATTCCTGAAGAACAGAAAATGATAAGGGAGAAACCAAGTTGATAACGTAAATGCTGTCTCTGAGTTATGGTACTGTATTTGGTTACAGTATTAGGAAGAATGCTATTAAAAGGGAAATTATAAAGACTTTAAGACTGATTCATAGTTGGTAAACAGAAACCACTATTAGTTTAACAAGTTTCTACTTCAGCTATTTATCACTGCTTTTCTTAGTGTTCATCCCTGCATCAGGCTTGTTTTCATATAGATCATGGTACTGTTATTCAAACTCACCTGGATCAGCACTGCAATACCTTTTTATTTATAGTGTGCTATTATATACAAGTATCAAAATGAGTTTAAAATCACAAATGATGTATGTATTTATACTGTTATATGATGTGTGTGTATGTATGTGTGTATATATATATATAAATGATGTATGTGTTTATACTGATACCGTTCCCTTGACATTGACTTAGAATATTAGTTTTCTTTAATGGGCAGTTTAATGGGCATCCTTTTTGCTTGTTGTATTTGCTTGGTGGTTGTTTTTTTTTTGTGTGTGTGTGTGTTTCATTTTTTTTTTTAATCTGATGAGCACTGAGAATAAGTACTTTGTTTACCGTTTTCCACCAAAATGGGTCATTGTTTGATAGTTTCATGTTCTTCCTCCTTCAGGGAGTTTCAATTAGGGAAAATCATTCTTCCTAATTCAGCAGGGTTCTGGCACTAGGCTTTGGCATGCTCTTGTTCCCAGTAGTGTAAGTTAGGCCTGCTGTTAGGGCAGAATGTAGCATTCCTTTAAGGAAAAATTGTTCCTAGAAGGAATTGTTACCAAGATCCTTAGAAAATTAAGATTAACTAAGAATGGAACAGCCTGCCTACTAACAATACTAATTATTTAAAAAAAAAAAAAAAAAAGAAAGCTTCATTAGTTTCATATTTGTTTCCAGCAGAAGCAAAGATTTCTAACATTTCTCTTCTTTGGGCTGCTTTTTCCTAATTTCTGTTTTAAGAGGGCATGTAAACATTAACCTACACTAGCCAATATTATCATTGACATGATGGTGGTAACTCATCACTAGTAAATTTAAGGATTGATTACTCGGGGCTTTTTGAAAAGAAACTATAACTAATGATTTTTGCAGGAAGCGCATACATAAGAACATATCTGAGAGATCAATGGAATGGCATCAGGGCTGAACCAGAGGAAATAAATAAAAAAAAAAAATTGATTACCGGTGTTTTACAGTTATCTAGTACATCTGTGATGAAAAAGCTCCTTAGGAAAGGGATGTTGTTGTTTACCTCATGATTTCATATGATCTTCCTTTTGCCACATATGCGTGCCTCTAAACAGGCAAATAAAGCAAGTTTTTGTAGGGAGTTCTCTGTTAGCAATTTCTTGCTCCTCCTGACCATCTAGGCACAATATTTTTCATGTCTGGGCTATTTTATGTGATTTTTCTAGTTTGGTACTTAGTCATAATTCTTGAAACAGTTCTGTTGGAGGAAAACGATTTAATATTGACTTATCTGCAATAGAACTGAAGACCAGAACTTAGGTGACTATCTTTGAGTACAGTATGATTGGTAAGAAGAGAGTTATTTTCCACGTATTGAAGGTAACTCAATTAAAACCAAGAGCCTCTGTATAACTTGTTGCAAAAAGGGTTTTGTTTTTTTTTTTTTACTCTGCCTTTTTTAATAGGAGAATGACTTCTGTGTTTGATGTTCTGACTAGAAAAAAGATTTGGAGTTGTTACTGTAGATGTAAAAATAGATACAGATATAAAATTCTTAAATGTTTTATAACTTTACATGATTCTGTGGCCTAATTTTCATTTATTTCTATAAATAGTTTAAGAATATCCTCCTGTACAGAGAAGTATACAAGTATCCTCTCCCCTCCTCCCTTTTTTTCCTGTTTGACTTTTCACACCGAAAAATTCTTGAAGTGATAGGTAAATTTTGGAAAAGTTATTTTTATGTATGAAAGTTTACTGACTCTTGTATCATAAAAGATGTTTTTTTTCTTTTACACAAATAACTGCACATTAAAAAAGATCTGATACTCAAAGCCTCTAAAAGTCAGGTTGCCATGTTTTCTGAAAGGACAGACTTCAGTTCATTTTAATTGTGATATGGCAAAAAGAACTGTAATTTGTATTAAGAAAAAAAGAGAGAAAACAAATTTCTTCCTGAAATCCTTCTTACTTTAGTTCTAAAACCGTTAATTAGCACATGCAAGTATGTTTTGATATACAGTTACAGAATCTCCAGTATTGAAACCAGCTTTTAATATCAGCAATAAAAAGTACCATAATTGCTTGGACACTGGGGGAAAAAAGGTAGCCTGCTAAAGTCAGTTATCTTGGTAAATCAGAATTTGACACATTACTTTAGAGTTTAGTTTTTTGTGATTTTTGTCTCTTAAAAATGTCTTTTCAGCTTGGATGAATTAATAGAAACATTTCTGGAAGATGATGATCCTGAAACCACTTTGGATGTTGGAGCAGATATGCGCAAGATCAAGTACTGCTTCACTTACTTGAAGGTATTTCTTTTAAACATAGGTAGAGATGCAGCTGGGACTGCATGTACATTGAAGATATTCACAATTAAAAGAATCAAGTAATGCAGTATAGTTGAGAGCTGGAAAATGGTAAAACTGTGCATTGTGTGAAGAACTAATAGAAATTTGGAATTTAATTGGAAAAATGCAGCAAAATTGTGTGAAAGGATCACAACTTGTATTAAATTGTAAGAGAGGACTGTAAGTTATTGGAATCAATCCATTGCAAGCTATTTGTAAGTGGGTTGATGTATCTGTGTATTCAGAATGCTATGATGTCTTTACTTTTTATAAACTATGTCAAAAGATAAAAATAATATTAAGGCACCATGTGCTTGAATCCATTGCACAATCTTACTAGTGTAAACACTTCAACTCTGAGGAAACAAGATATACTTGAAGTAGAAAGAACAGTGAGGTTAATAGAGAAATAAGTAGAAGGCATTATACACTTTTTCTGTTTTGGGATGTTGTTTTATAATATAACAAGACATGCATTCCTGATTTAAATTTATTGTGTTTGAATAATTAGGTCTTATTTGCACTGTTAATATCGAAAATACCATGATGCTACAGAACACTGGAGTCTCACTTAGATAGGATATAGTAAATGTGAAGTATAGTAACAGTGAAAAACAACAAATGCAACTCATTCTGAATACCTACTTATGCCAAACATTTGCATATAGCTTGGTATAGTGGCATGATTTTATTCTCTCAAGGATGTATACAGACATTGTTTTCAACATATTTTCCAGTGAGTCACAAGAGAAAGTAAATACGTAGCTGGATGTAAAGTTATGAAAGTAATTTTATTTTTTTCTTCTGGTAGCTACGACAGAATCATTCAAAGGTTTCTGATGAAAAGCTGCTCTCGCATCACATCTGTGAAGAAAAAGACACTAGCAAAGAAGCAGGAAAAGAGGAATTGAAAAAAATGAAAGAACTTCTGCAGCAAAGAGACAATGAGATCAGTATCCTTAGCAGGGGAAAAAATAATATTTGGGTTTCAGCTGATGTGGCTACAATGGTTTCTCTGTGTGTGAGATAGGAGTTGGCTGCATGAAATGAATTTCTCTCTATTGACCCCACTGTGTTAAAGCAATTACTCAGTTTCCAAATTTTATGTGGCAAGACCCTTTCTTTACACCTGCTTCTATTTCAGTTGAGACCTAAACCAAAATCCTGGATCCAGGCACCACTTAGCTTTAGAGTGGTCCAGCCAAGATCCAAAGACTGCGAATAAAGCCATGCCTAAAAAACTCTCCTCAAGCAATTTAGGCATTTTTGTAGAATGGGAAAATCTGATGCTATGTAAAGATCAATTTATTACCTTACAAAGAATAGAATTTCCTGTAAGTGTTATTTTTAGCCAAATGAAGTGCTGCTTTGGGGACTATTGGATTATGTACCTTTTGAATGAATATGAAACTTATACTCTTTACACGCATTTAAAAATTAAATTAAAGCTAAGGCTTTCTGCATGTAAAAATATTAGACTACTTAAATGTGCTTTGTCCATTTCAGTGCCTCACAGCAGACACAAGTATGTAGGTTGCAGTGAAAGCAATGTCTTTGTATTTGTTATAGTATTCATGAGAATAAAAAGAGCACAATAGCAGTACTCGATAGAGCAAATTCTCAGCTACAAAGCAATATTTATTTCCATCGTAGTCACCCTTAGCTATGCATTTTTGTCAGTAATGTACACTAACCTGCATGCTGTTCTTGTGAAGATCTGCAGCAATGGAGGGGACCCACTGTCACTGTCAACAATGCTGACATGCACCACTTAATGCCTCACTGTGCCCACTTTCACTGTTTGATCTCCATAAATGTTCAATAAGTGCCAGTGAATGTCAGTAGGTGTCATTTTTTCCATGTGGAAGAATTCAATGACACACTTTTTCTTCATATGCACTCCCATGTCAGATACCATTTTGCAAGACTGCCCATCTGCTGCCATTTGTTGCACAGCAACAAAATGTAACAGAATACTGGTGGGAAGGTTCAACTGCTATTGCCATACTACTTATATATATACACACACATATGCCTCTGATGTCATGGGCTAACACTGTAAAATGGGAGGCATTGCATTCACTGCAGCTCTTGTATATCAAATTCAGTCTATCATTGTTCAAATGCTAATAATGCGACGTGTGATAAAGTGGTGAGAAACATGAAAGCTTTGTAGTCAAGAAATGAGATTTTCTTGATTGTTCTTCAAACCAGGAGCTATCGTAATAACTATACTGTACAGAATTTTATTATTGTCACCCAGTTTACTAATTAATCTTCCCTTAGATTTTTCTGTTCATTTAGGAAATTAATGAGGATTAGAATTAATAACATAATAAAATAAATTCAACAGTACAAAGAATCCTGTGGTTTTGGTTGAAGGCTCACAAAATTTTCCCTGTAAGACCCCTTGATGCTCTTAGCAAAACATATCTATATCAAATATACTTTTAGTAAATATATAACAACGCATTTGCTAATTGCTGTTCTGCATTTTAGTAGACTTTCTTGTTATAAAAAGGCTACAGATGTGATACAATTTTCAGCCTAATTGTAAGTTAAGGGTTTCTTTTCTTCAAAAAATTTTGTTTATTAGACTTTAAATAGAATTTAAAAGAATTAAAAAAGGACTCACACAACAGCAATCTTAATGGAGTTTTCATTTGTTTGACTGTAAATGCTCAACAGTTGTGTTCAACTTGTGAATTAATTAGTGCTTTTTAAAGATGAATCTCCTGTATGGAAAAAGCTAAGATGGCTGGATTTAATTTCAAACAAAATTCCTAACTTTAAATACATGTTCACAAATAGGCTTCTAAATGTGAATTGTTGTACTTTTTTTAAAAAAAAAAAAGTCTTAAAGAAACAAATAATTGTTTTATTGAAAAGAGATTTTTAATTACTTCCTTAATATATCTTGCAGATATTCTGGTAAATATGCTCAAAAATGAGAGAAAGAAAACACAAGAGGCTCTTTTTCAGCTCAATGCTGCCTCTGCTGGTTCTACATCATTGAAGCAGTCTCATTCTATAAACTTAGAAGAAAGTCAAAACCCATCAAGATTTTTCAGTCTAAAAGAAGCAAAAGATCTCAGCTCTTCAGTTCACAGGCTGCCTTTTCTTTCCAGAACTAAAGGTTAGTGTAAATTAAGCAAGTATTTATTGGGTTATTAAAATATGATTTTCAACATATTATTCAAATGCATAACAGAATAGGATTTCTTTATTTTTAGTGATAGTAGTATTCTGCTAATTCTGGATACACAAATGCAGGGATACAAATTTATAGTTCTCTCAAGGTAATGATGGCTTTAACAAACTGATGTGAATCTTCTGTTGTATAGTTCTCCAAAAAAAAAAAAAAAAAAAAAAAAAGCAAATTATGTTCTAGAACTTTAAATCTTCAAGTAAATTTGTTCTCAGAAAAGAATTTTTTTATCATAACTCATAAAAATTACTAGAAAAAAAAGTTGGTTTCCCAGAAAGTCTGGAAGTAATGACCTTTAGCAAAACATAAATAATAACCAGTACAGCAGGTATTGAAAGAAGTTTTGTGCAGGCATTATTAATTGCACAGTATAGTAAAACATCAATAAACACATTTTTCTTTCCAATTTTTTTGTAATCTTACAACCTATGAGAGGAATCTTACTTTCAAATAGAATGAGATTTCATTAATTACGCTTCCATCTCTGATATCAGATTGGAAACTTTCTGTGATTGTCGTTAATAGTTTTGCTTATACTATATTATATAGGTGTCTGGTTTTTTTTATTCAGCCTTTTCAATAAAATATTGTGATTATTTCAATTATTTTTTTAAAAAGTGATTAAATAAATTGAAGTCTTAGTTTCAGAAATGAAAGGTAGCTACACTTTTGTGCATTTCAATAGCTCTTTTGCAATTCTGCCTTTCTAGAGCAAGAACTTGGTAAGTATGAACAAATTCAAAATCTGCATTCTGTTGTATTTCAAAATAATAATTTACCATGTGATCCTATAAATTATATCCTTTCCAAAAAAAAAAAAAATTGAGCTGAACTGATAGACAAGGTGTTCATTTAGGGTAGTTAACAGTACCATTCGATATACATTAGTGTCATTTGTCAGCAGATAAGTTTGTGTATGTGCAACTGATAAAAGATTTTAATCTAGTAGTAACGCCAATTTTTTCTTGTTATTCAAACTATACTGTAACTGTTCTGTAAAATATAGTAGGTAAACATTCCAGATTTTTTTTTATTGAAAAAGAATTATTTTGGACATAAGGTTGGTGCAGAGGACCTGTGACAATGATGAAGTATCTTCTTTGGCTAGAAGTAAATCTACCTGATTCCCGTCATGTTGGGATAATGAGTGTTTAGATAAGTCTCTGGACTGAGAAGATAATATGTTCTGAGATGAGAAGTTTTGTGTATAATTAGATTACAAATGTTCTGAAAATAGCTGTAAACGTATCCCCTTCTTTCCAGTCTTCTTTTCAATCTGCTTTGGGTCAGGTTCTGATACTCTGTCACATTCTATGTGACATGAAAACGATGCATCTTCAACAATCACGATGGTAAATGTGAACAGAGGAACACTCCCCTAGGGGACATCTTACAGTTAATAAAAATAATTTAAAAAATATCAGCCATATTTCTCTGAAGGCTACAGATAAATAACTTTTTTAAATTATTCTAAATGTCCATATGTGTCTGCACGTCTTTCAAAGGGCCTGATGTTCTGCTGCAAGTCTAGTCAGTAATGTTGGCAGCATTAGGACTTCGAATGTTCTGTAATGTGTAGCTGTCATAATGGTAATGCTTTAAAAAAAAAAAAAAAGTGTTTCTTAATGTTTGCATTATTGTTCTCAAGGAATACTTTAGAGTAACAAATGTAAAATAATAAATAAAACATAAATGTAGTAGAAACCATGTAAATAGCACAACCCATTCAGCCTTACCAGGATGCCTTAAACCCTATCTCTGGAGACCAATTGTCTTTGCAAGCATGTAACCAAGTTTCCATGCTCTCTCAATCTTTTGTCTCTATGAGAATGACAGCATTTTCCCTAATGTATAAACTATATTTTTCTTTCTTTTGTTTGATTTCTTAGAGTACTGAAAATAACAAGCTTCAGTGCATGTTCACATTGAAAGTATTATGTTCATAAGTTCTTGAAGAATAGTCAAATTGTTTTTCAGATCAGTTTGTAGTTCGAATGAGGCCAAGAGTCTGTCAAAAGAAGAGAAAATGTGTGAGAGTCAAATTCAGTTAAAAGAAAGCCGAACTATGGCTTGTAGTCAATTACATGATTTAAAAAGTAGTAATTGTAGAATCATAGAATGTCTGGGGATGGAAGGGACCTAAAGGACCATCTAATTCCCCTGTAGTGGGTGGAGACATCACCCTCTGCACAAAGTTCTACCTAATGTGGCCTTGAACACATTCAGGGATGTGGCATCAACAACTTCTCTAGGCAACCTGTTTCAGTGCCTCACAACTCTGTGAGTAAATAATTTCCTCCTAACACCTAAGAATTTCTGCTCTTTTAGTTTAAGAACTGTTTTAGTTTAATTTTTATAATAGTACTGTAAGATCAATATCATACATTTAAAAAAAAAAAAAGTCTTATCTACATTTACTTGAAGCATCCTGTTTTATCTGTAGGCAAGTTACTATTTTGAGATCTTCAGCTGCAATGTGCTATAAGATCTCAAGAGGTTATCACTGTTTTTATTGCATAATTTTGGCAGTGTAAAGATACAGTGGTATATTATCGGCCAAAATCTGTCTGCTGTATGTGATAATGATTGAAATATAGCTCTTTCCTTTTGAACTCAGACCTGGACACGTGCTGCAGACTTTATTAATCCAAAAATGTTCTACCCAACAATTAAGCAAAGTGTTTTGAAAAAACACCACCTGGTGAAATGAACATTAATAACTTTTGTGGCAAAATAACCTAGTTGATATAAGAGAATTAAAATAAGTGCATATGCTTGGTTAAAACCTACCTTTTGGCCTCCCAGTTTCTGTATGGATTTGAGAAGTTTACTTTTAGTAATTGTAATTTTAGTACAGACTATCTTACAGAAATGTTGTTCTCAAGAGTTGGGAACTACTGCAAGCCTCACCAGGTCTCATAATTGATTTTTCTATTATTGTCTTGTAAATAATGTCTTGTGACTTGTAAGTACATTACAAGCAACTTACAGTAACTACTGCCTTGTAATGTAACTTAAAGAAATTTCAGAAAATTATACTGTCAATCCCAGAAGTTATAAATATTGACTCATATGTCTTAAAAGATGAGAAAAAATACATTATTAGATTTCAGACTACATAATTTTGAAATAAGAATAGGCAAAAAGCATTATTTATTGTTAATATTCTGAGAAGAATATTTTCTTCTGCATGCCAGGTCTTCAGAAACCACTCATAACCTAATTTTTACAAGATTCTAAGGACATATTTAACTTTAGCTATGTAAATACCAATAGATTTAACTATGTGCTTACTATTTGATTGAAACAGCAACTCAAAAAAAGCAAATTGTGTTGGCTAATTAGCATGGATTGTATAAGTAAGGGAGTTACTATGCTGGTTAACTAAAAAAGTGTTAATTGTTAAGTATTTTTCTTTGCAAGTATCTTTCTTTGCATTTCAGAGTTGTTTAAATTAACAATTTGTGTTTACAAATTGTTAATTTCAAAATCCATATAAAACAACTTATGGCATGCAATAACTCTAGGCAGGTTTTCGTTGCCTAGTTTAATTTTTTTCTTTGTTTTCCAATTGAGTTGTTTAAACAAAAAGCATTTTTGTTTTAGGTTTTAGAATTGCTTATGAAAGCTCAGAGCAAAAGCATCCTAGACTATCATTTTGTAGTTAGTTCACATATTCATGATTTATTCTTCTGTATACTGTTTAGGTATTTTGTAATGAATTTTTATGTAAAAGTGATAATCAGTTCAAAAGTCAGCAATAACTTGCAAATAAGCACCTTAAATTTCACTAGTATCCTGACATAAATATCTCTTAAGCTATTTAGTATTGCCAGTTTTAGCTATGATGGTATGGTTAGGTTGAGGTTGGATTTGACAGTCTTGAACATCTTTTCCAACCCAATCAATTCCATGATTCTACGATTATCCTCTAAAATTGTTTACTAATTGAAGGGATGGATAAATGGACAGGAGCTGTGTATTGTGAGGTGCATGTGAAAGAAAAAAACTTAGTCTAAAAAACAAAATACTTGAGGAAATGAAAGAGGGAAAGGACGGAAACAAAGTCTTAAGAGTTCTGTTTGATTTGGGTTCTGCTTTATTGCAGTCCAGTGATAACTGAGGAGAATTCAGAACTAGAGCAATCTATACCATGGATTTTTAAGTGGGTGCTTCACATACTTGTTAGAATTATCTGATGCTGTCTTTCTGTCACTTAGCTATGAAATACTAGACTAGAATAATCTTGCATCTATTCCCCTGTAGCGAAGTCTGTGAACTTTTTTTAATTTAGCTCCTAAAACTTTTAATTTGTCTGCTGCTTTTCCTGTGTATCATTCTTCAATTTTGAAGTAAGAATTTACTTGATTTGATATCATAATTATAGTCAATGAATAGAATTTTTTCATTATAACAAAGTTTTTTATATCCTCAGAAATATGTTAGCAAAAAAAAAGTTATACTTTGTCAACAAATCACCAGTATAAATGGTGGTTTATGTAACAGTGCTTATTCTTTAGTCTTTAAGAATCTATGAAGCATTGGCAAGTTGTCACCTTGATATTATGCTCTCTCTTTCTGAAAACGATGTCTTGTTTATGTACAAGTGACCTTCACGCATAACGTAGGAACCAGCATATCAGCTCAAATTACTGTATTGCTGAGGATTTTCTGCTACGTTCTGCACAGACAGAGATGGATATTTCAGAAAGTTTGGATAATGATCAGTCTTTGATATTTGTCTTGACATTTCAACAAATAGAAAAGTTTGTGAGGTATGAGGTTCAAATTTCACATATTGCAAATCTCCAAGTAATATTCATAATCCTGAAGCTACGCATTCTTTCAAAATCAATTTGGACTATATGCATATGACTTGTTAATTATACACATTAAGGATTTGTTGAAGATGTGGGAAAGAGCTTAGG